GCCATTATGACTCCGGTCATTATAGTTTATCACGACTCTTGCCATTATGACTCCGGTCATCATTTTTTATCATGGCTCTGGTTATATTGTGACTTCGGTCATCACTTTTTATTACTGCTCCGGCCACCATGACTCCAGTCATCACCTCTTACTATGGCTACAGTTGCATTGACTGCGATCACTATTTTTACCACGGCTACGGCCACGATCGCTTCGATCACATTCTATTTTGGGCATGCCCAGCATGACCCCCTGTCACATACTTCATTATTAGCTACGACTATGTATGCATTTGAGTTACATATTTTACTTTTTACTTTTACTTCTGTAACTTATCCTTATCCCTTTTATTTATGCACTCCTCCCATTATCCCCAACAACATCATTCACAAGCGAATGACTTCAGGGGGGGAATAGTGTAAGGACAGGTCCGAGGTGCCCAGCCTCGGACTACTACGGTAATTCCTTTATGACCGAAGTGAAGGATAAATCCAAAGCTTCCCGCTCAAACAGCTGCATGACAGTGACAATAAGCATACCCGAACCTGATTCTTTATGATGGCCTGCACAGCAGTTATGACGGACATCCTTGCTTCTAAATATCTCTCAAATTCCAAGTCCCGAAATAATCGTCTGGATAGACACGTCAGGCTCCGATTATCTTGCTTGGCATGCCACGTGGGTTCCTCACTGGAGCCTATAAATACCCCCCAGGGGTCACGTCAAAAAGGTAATTGAAAACCAACCCTAAGCTCCTTTTATCTTCGCTCTAAAGGTAGTCCCGATTATTACTGACTTAAGCATCAGAGTGTATACCCCGAGGACCCACATTGGGGCTTTGCAAGTCAATCCGAAATGCAGATTTGGACTAAAGAAAGACTTCTGGTTTTGTGCAATTACAGTTATTAAGTTAATGATTAGTTTCAATTCAAGTCATTTTAATTTAAGTAATAAATTTTTTTTTCTTTTGAACATTTACAATTATGGAGAGGGCTAATGACGGTTTGAAACACAACACTTAGAAGGTTGGGTGGAACGCTCCTATTACCAATTGGCCTAAAAGGCTAAGACTGTAGAGAAAATTGAGAATTGAGATCGGAAAAAAAATAGAGTTAATATATATATATTTTTCTCTCTCCGATTTTTTGTATTAAAATCTAAAGGAAAAGAAGAAAATATTAAGATTTCCAAATTTCATAAGATAAGAGTTTTAATTATGGGAAGTGGAAAATAAGTATTGAACAGATCTCGTGGCCCCAACAACCTCTTTTATGAAATACACCCTAATGTAATTCATTTCGTTTTAGTTGTTCCCTAGAATACAGTAAAAAATTGACATCGATGGGATATAATCATTTTTTTTTTCTTTCTCCACGTAGACATAGTTTGTGCCTTTTGTAATTTTCTCATTCCGTGATCATGAATCATGATCATCCTCTTGTCCTGGCCTAAAATGTAAAAGAAGTTTTGACCACTACCAATCATGAAAAGGAAATCATTACAAGAAAATTATCGATAAAATATATAAATTGAAAAAATATTAGTACAAAGGATATCGAATTAGTAATAATGTTTTCATTACCTATTTTCAAAAAAAAAAAAAAAGAATTAGTAATAATTTTTAAAAAAATTATTATTTTTTAAAACAAATTCACAATGGGTCGGATTCGAACTGTTGTCCTAAAAGTGAAATAATGTTATACGTGATCTGATGCCACTGGGTTCAAAGTGCTAAAAAAAATTGTTTTAGAAGATAACTTGTATGCTTAATTTAATAAATAGTTTAATAATTTTTGCATTTTTTTGTTTTGTTTATTTTTTTAAATACTTTTAAATTTATTTATTATTTTTTACTTTTATTTTAATTTATTTTAGATTGTTACCTTTTTAATCGTTCATTTGATCAAATTGATTTTTAATTATATTTTTTTACAAATTTGTACTTGTTAAAATTTATTTTAAAATAAAATTAATTTTATAAGAATGATAAGCTTTTTTTATTATTTAAAAAATTATAATCTTTATCACATATTGTTTCAATTTTTTGTTTTGATAATTCTACTTTATAACAGAAACTATAATTAATTATAGACATATGTTAATAATTTACATAGTCTGTAATAGATTACTTTTTTAGCTGAAACTATTTTATTTTAATTTTGATTTAACTTTTTTGTTAATTTTTTTTGTTAAAGCTAATGAAAGTTTTATACGGTAGATTATTCTAAAATATTTTACAAAATTTATATATTATTAAGAAAGAAAATTAACTTTATAGACTTAATGAAATTAGGCTAATAGTTAATAGATCAATCATTGAATTAAGCCTAAATTGTATATTAGAAATATAGTTTATTTTATAAATTTATTAAAAATTTTTAATAAAATTATTTTTATATTATTTTATTAAAAATATTTTAATAAATTTATAAAATGAGTTGCACTTTTAATATACAGTTTATCTTATAAAATATAATTTTTATAATTTTTTATGATATATATAATCTACTTTTTTATGTTAAAATAATTGTTATTTTTTTTACAAATTAAGAATTTGAATAGACTTAAAATAAAATATATATATATATCTATCTTAAAAATTTTTTAAAATGATAATTAATTTACGATAAGTTTTCAATAACAAAATAACAATTTTTTTACCAAAAATATAACAATTTTTTTGGATAAAGGAAGTATTTTAATCAATAAGCATTTAGCATATCATAAAGTCATTGTACAAATTACTCATTAAATTAAATTATTCTATATATAAAAGTGTCTTTCAAGTCTATTTGTAAGAAATTTAAAATTTAAAAATAATTGTAAAATTATTTAAATATGCTTAATGTATTTTCCTTGCACGTTAATTTATTAAGTGCATTTAATTAATTCTATAGACATTTATATACTTTCCTTTTTTTTCAAGTCAACTTGGAAATCTACAATTCTATTAAATTATAAAATATAAAACTAATATAAACCTATTCTAAATTAAACCTTTAGAAAATATGACTCCAACATGAAATCTCATCTTTCAAGACTTACTATTACACCAAGGATCCATTGGTAAAATTGAACATTCATAGTAATTTTAGGACAAAAAAAAAAATATTCATATTAAGTTTAAAATGAGGTAGAAAGGAGAGATTGGTTTGATAATTGATCATGTGGGGAAGATCATTTACGAAACCTTCTTCCCCATTTGGTGGATATGGATTCTTAATAAATTTTTGACATTTTCCTTTGTACCCTTCAATTCTTTTTCCCAAAACAAAATTGATTGTGTACTTTCTTGCTTTTCTTTTTTCTTCTTTCTTCATTGCTGCAATTTCCTGTGCAAAATCTTATCGTTTTTACTTTCTGTAGCAATTTCAGACGGCAGACCCAGCAAAGATTGCTGTAATGCAGAGTGGCAAATATATAGGAACACTCAAACCTCCATAACTTGCCCATACCCTACGTCCCTACCCTTCTCCCCAAACACTCCAGAAACCTTCACTCTTATAAAAACATATGAAAAATCTTGCGTATTTTATAACAACATTCATTCTCTTGACCTTAATTTGCATCAATTTAGACACATACTAGTTTTCCATTTCATTCTTAAAAATAACTTAATTAAGAACTAATCTCCTTTTTATCATCATAATTGCTTATGTAGCACTATCTAATTTCGTAAGTATGAATATAAAAAGTTTGTGTCTAAACACATAAGTTAGATAATACCTTACAACAAGATAGAACCTAGTTATTAATGTCAGCAAGCTAGATTATCAAATCACAAGTGCAACGAAATTTCTTAATAAGTTCAGCTCGAATAGTTTGTACACGAAACTAAACAAATGTATATCCCGATTGAAATGCCTGCAAGAAGGTGAATATTAGATAAAGAGCGTCAAAGCATTGGATTTGACAGAGAAAGACACGATACAGAGAATGGGGGACTAAGAAAGAGGCCACCAGATTCATTAAAAATCAAGAATTAATGTCACCTCTTCATTTTTGCTTTTAATTGTACAAACAAAGCAGAGCAGGGAGCAGAACAAAACATGGCCAACCTGACAACCCCACAACACACTGTTTGTAAAATGCTAGCCATGGTTGGTTGATCAAGAAACATTCATAGCATATCTTTCAGTGAAATGCATATGGATGCCTATTGCTCTTGCCTGCAGTAGCTTCTGATGATCTCTTGTTTTGTAATTAAAATGGTTATTGTCCTAATGTCCTAGACACCACATCATGGTAGCTCCATCCATATGGGTCCCAAACACCTCCTTTTCCCTTTTTCTTTCCTTTTTCTTTTTTTTTTTAAAATAATTTTAATGCAAATATCATTTCTTTAAACTAAATATCATATACTAAAATTTGTCAAACTTCTTCCCATAACACCTGTTATTTTAAGACCCATGCACAATATATAATTAAATAATTTTATTTTAATCATTTAACTCCATATACTACATTGCATGTATCCCTACTTTCGATAACTTGAGTTATTGGCTCAGCTATATTATTAAAGTTTAATTATAATTTTGGTCCCTGAACTTTGTCTCAATATATTCTTTTAGTTTATAAATAATTTTTTGTACTTTTTGGTCCCCTAACTTGATGATGTACGCTTTTTTTGTCCTTCTGTAAACAAAAGTTCATGAGGACATTAAGTCAATTAAAAAAATAAATTTTCTTCAAACTTTTAAGGTTTAATGCTAATTTCACTTCCTAAACTTTGCCTCAATGCACTTTTTTGGGATAAAAAACATGCATTGAGACAGAGTTTAGTAACTAAAATTAGCATTAA